AAAAGATTTTTTAAATTATGTGATTATTTTATCAACTATTGATTTATTAGTAAATTGTATTTTTTTCATAATTAAGTTTCCCGCCTTTAAAAAGTCTTTTATTTATTTAAAAAGATACTGATAGACTTGCAAAATGTTGAAAAGATTTGTAAATACATCTTTTTATCTTTAAATTACAACTTTTGGTTTTCTATTATCTGCGTTTCCTCATACAATTTTCGTTTTATATGTATTTGTGTGTGTTGAGAGAGAAAATATGTTTTCATCATTATATATTCCATTATTCAATTTCATTATTATTTTACACGTTATTATTTCAGAGAATTATCACATCACGTTTGAATACCGCTGTGTTAGTAATATGATTATAATAAATACAATACAATACAATAAATTACGTTTTCTGTGAACGTGTTATCAGTAGAAGACACGTAATAATATGTGCGTGGTTAATTACTACCGTTTTTGTAATTATTTAATTCGCTGTTCATTCCTACAACAATTTAACGTATAGTTCATATGTAAATGATATGAGGAGTGTCAAGATTTAAAGTAAAACGCGACAATATCTATACACTATTAACAAACTAAAAAAACTTTACATTTTGAAAGAAAGAAAAAGAGAGAAAGAAAGAAAGAATGAATGAGAGAGAGAGAGAGAGAGAGTGAGAGAAAGAGAGAGAATATTCTGTAATATAATACAATATAATACAACACTGTTAAAAAACAAGTAAAACAAATAAGAATATTTCAGCGTTCTAGTCATACAATCTATATATTTTTCATTTATCCAAATTATGTGTTTCTGTGTGTTAATCGTTATAAAAATGTGGGAATAAAAGATATCAAACACGATATATTATTTTTATGTCGTAGATAAAAAGATAGATCCTGTGATTTAGAGAATAGAGAATTGTTGACAAAGAAATCAAAATTACTTTTTCACCAATTTCTCAGCTTTGATTAAGAATTGTATTTTATCCATTTTACAATTTTTTTTGTTGAAATTATTATATTGTTTAATCAAACATCTTTTAATGAAAATATATGTAAAATCACATTTTTAAAGATATGATAATAAGAATTCTTTTTTTATTATTAACAAAATTTATATTCATCTCTATTATGTATAATATCTTATTGATATTTAATATATTTTGTGCACACGATAGTAGTAAAAAATCAATCAATATATTAATTTTATTCTTTAATATTAATAAACAACAAATTAAAATAGGATCCAAGCGAACAAGCATAAATAATATGTACATGTGAACACCTTGTTTCAGTGAAGACGAACAATCCCATATCATATATGCATCTCATTGAAACATTTATTCGCGTTTATTTGTGTTCGTTCGTTTCCTTCGTGGCCTGGATTCGGATTAACATATTCCTTCTTACTTCTTTCGAATTAGTACGCAGAGTACAGTTTCAAGGGAACTGTGCATCAATGGAGAACTGGTATCATAACTTTCATGTAGGGCAAAGACTACGTTAATTAAAAGCAATATATCAGCGTATCAGAGAATTTCTTACCGACCTTTATTATTGTTTTGCATTGTATGTCAGTTTAATGTCTATTTCCACTAATGCAGATTAATTTTAGTCTCGATTTAATTTACTTTTTATTTTTTTAATTCTTAGAACTAAAAACAGAGCATAAAAAGTAAGTTAAACTGAGATTACAGTTAATCCACATTGTGGTAGAACGATGCTCTGACGTATCGGGAAACATATCAGGAACTAATAGGATTCTTATTCAAACATTTCAGTGAAGTTCATGCCGGAATCAAATCCGCCGCCACCAGCGTACGGCTATCAGCCAGGCTACCAGCCGGGTCCGAATATGCAAGGGGCCCCAGCACCCGGTGCACCTTCAACGGGTGGCTCAGGAGCGACGGGCACTGCACCAGGTGGTAACGCGCCACAAACTCCCGGAGCCGCGTTTGTCGGCAAATTGGAGACCGGTATACACAGCGTCGTCTAAATGCGACACGATGATGACACTAGATGGAAGTAATGAAAAAAGAAACGAAGATGATTGACCTTGACAATGACGTCTTCATCCTCAGCAGAAATAACTGGTCGACATACTCGCTTTGATGGTTAATTCGTTTGAATCATTATTGGAAAACATAATAGAAACATTAACAAATTTTCCAAGTTATGGGTTTACATCGTTATTTTTGCTCAAATTACTTTTGACTATCGCGTATGATCATTTTAACGTTGAATTATTTTTTCAGTATGAAGTAATAATTAATAATAATTTTATATCCTTCTAGTGATGATTACGTATTACGCAACTTTTCTCGAGATGTATAATATTTAGAGTGCAAATTATCTTCACATATTTTTATTCACTAATTTTTATTCGATTGCATCGCATTTTATTAATCTAATCGTGATTTTAAGTTGTTTGTAAACGGAAGCGACATATCGACCGGTCTTTTCGATAGTCGAGAAAAAAAAGCGATTTATATTCTAGGCAATTTTATTACGAAATCAACAAAGGCTTTATTTGCAAGAGTATGTTCAATGAGAGTATACTTAAACGAAAGATCTTACAAGTCTATATATTACGCTCAGCTAATTGCTACGAAAAACATGCAACAAAAGCGAAATTTATTCATAAGAAACTATAGGCACGTCTATCGACGTATGTACATGTATATGTACATATATTATTACAAATTGTTAATGTAAGATTAGATTTATGTACATATATATAAATACATAAATTATTTATATATTAAATACAAGAAGAGACGATAATAAAGGAGAATTATAAATAACAATTGGAAGAACGCAGATCTTTCAAACCTACTTTCGATCAAGAAAAATGTAAAAATGTCGAGTATGCACATCACATATTTTTTCATGTAAGTGATGATTTATTGTATTTATTTGTGCATTTATAAAACGTTTTTTCTGACGATATAATTTCTGAGACAGAACAGACTTATTTACGTCAAATTCTTTAATTATATTAATCTCTATTTTTTGCGATCAATGTTATTACAATGCGAATCGCCATTATTGTAAAAATTATTAAAATTATTGAAAAAGTTTCGATATAATTTTTTAGCAAACAAATCACTTAAACACATTCCTTGCACGATTTAATTAGTTTTACTTTGTATCGTATTTTAGATACTATATATTAGATACTATATATTTGAATTTATTATTTATTATAGTTTATATTTTTAAATATCATACATATGCCACATCTTAGAACCCGTTATATAAATGTATAAAAAAATTTGTTCTTTTAAAAAGAAGAAAATTAGATTGTAAATGTACTATAGAAAATAATCGAATCATAGAAAGAATAATTATTGATTCCTATATTTTCAAGCATTAACATAGTGATTGATAATAACCTTATGCGATATTAAATTAAACTTTGCAAAGTTGGAATGTCTAAAGATATTAGCATGTAATTTAGCAATGTTACATATATATGTATTAATATATATGTATTAATATATATATATATATATATATTTATATACATGCATATATATATATATATATATATATATATATACATGTATATAAATATTAATACATTAGTAATATTATTTTATTTTAAAAAGTGAAAAAAATCGCTATATTAAATGCGTGGTACATTTCTATATTATTGTCGTAATCTTATTGTTCTATTATTTTCGTCTATGTGAAATATCTTACTATTAAATTTTCAATATATTTAAAAGATATATAAAACTAGTTATTTAAAAAAAAAAGAAATGTATTAATCATATTCTTTGTCAAATAAAACATTATGTTACAACTTTCACTTGATAATCAAATCATAACAGATTCGATAAATTTGTCTATACACTAATAATAAATTAAATATAGATTTGTAATTATAGCATCATAGCAAGACGCTTTGACACTTAGACTGTTGATATATTATTACGAACGAATACCGAAATTATATTACAAAATACTCCTTCAGCTGTATATCTCACTGAAAAAGAAATAGATCTATATATTATATAATAGTAATACTATATATTATAAATATTATTGTACACTAGGCTTAAAATAAATAACATTTAAAAAGCAGTTCTATGTATGTTTTCTTATGTTTTCATAAACATTTTTTTACAATGAAAATAGTAATATTAATTTTATACATTTGCATTATAATTACATGCAAATATATGAATAAGTGTGAAATAAGTGTGAAATTATTTTATAATAATTAATTTACAATACAAACTGCATACTTGTTTTGACCTATTTTTGCCTATTTTTGACAGTTTCTTTTTTTACAACTTATATTTTTCTACTTTTCACTCTTTTTTCCTCTTTAATGTTTAATTATTTTTATATTTATTTTACTCTCTAAATTGGCATTCATGTTTAGCTCAGTAAAACTGGAGACTCCTGCAATAAAATTTAGCTACGAGCAATCAAGATTTTACGGAACAGAAAGGTGTATGTATGCGCGCGCGCACATATGTGTGTGATACGTGCGTGCATGTGTGCGTTACATATACAGGGAGGTGAGGAAAAAAGGTCGGTACTCCTAAATAACTCAGAAAATATAAATTCTATAGAAAAATGTTTCAGACAAAAGTTGTAAAGCTTAAAAAGATCTATTTATTGATCTTATCAATTTGACCTTAGGTGGCATCGCCAAGGTCAAAGTCACATCGATTTTTTAAATGGAACACCCTATTTTTGTTTCAGAAACATAATAAAAAAATATGGAACAGCTAGAGATGGAAAATATTACAAATAAAAA